TATTTGTGCTCCGAAGCACTACTTCATGTAATGATGAAAGATTTTGCACCAGCAGATCAATGTTCTGGGGACTTTTTTTGGTCTGGTCTCTGTTTAAAGCTCTGTTCTTGACTGGTGCTCAGCTACTTGGCTACAGTTCTAATCTGAGGCCGGTGGCTGGCCTGGAAGACATTGTTTTTGGGATTATCTTTATCTCTGATTTTTAATTCTATCCTTCAGGTTTGCTTCACTGATCGCAGTCTACATCGTTGGTGGGTTCCTCTACCAGCGCCTTGTAGTGGGAGCGAAGGGCATGGAGCAGTTTCCTCACTTTGCCTTCTGGCAAGATCTGGGCAATTTGGTGGCGGTGAGTGAAAATGTATATTCCCAGCCTGGCCCATATGTTTAAAAGGAGAAAATGTTATCTGCCTTGTCTTTGTGGACTATGTCTCTTGGGTAGAGCTACCACCAGGATAGCTTACCTTGAGGCTGAAGAAGAGGATATCTGACTTTTGGGTTTTGTGGGGGTTTTTTGGGTGTTTTGAGTACTCTTATTTTTGAATCTGTGCTGTGACTGCTACGTAACAAACTCAAGCACGTGCTCATTAGTGGTTAACACGTTCCAGGGAGGTGTGTCAAGCCGGGGACTTTGAAATGTAGATGCCTGACTCCCTGAAACTTTTCCATGGGCACTTTAGGCAGTGCAGTTTATCCTCCGTGCTAGTCTCAGTGTGATGTTGCTGCCTACTGTTAATCAGTACCACGTTCTACCTCGGAGCATTCAGTACAGAGTAGGATGTAGGTATTTGCTCTTCTTGTCCAGACAAGTTTTGGGGACCTGTCCCAGATAGCCCAGGGGTAGGCATAATCCCTTAGCAAAAGAGAAAATGCAGACTCTGCTTGGCCTTGAATTGCGTGCAGTCTGATTCCAGTGCAATTTCCTCTGCTTGCAGGACGGCTGTGACTTTGTCTGCAGATCTAAGCCTCGCAATGCCCCAGCTGCGTACCGTGGTGTGGGTGATGACCAGCTGGGCGAGGAGTCAGAAGAACGAGATGACCACTTGCTACCCATGTGACAGCCTTTCAACACTGAGTTCTCCACATCTCCCCGGCGCTTGTTTAGCCAGGTGTCTCCCAGCCAGTTCTCCTTCTCTCACTTCTGATTTTCTTTACACTGTTGCTTTCGCTGTCCCTGGTGTGTGAAGTCCCATGGGTGCCTCTGGGGGTGTGAACCGTGCTGGTCCCTGACGGCATCTCTTAGGAATATAATCCTGGCTGACATTTTTTTCAAAACTGCAGCAGAGCTGGGGCGGGTGGGATGGAAAGTGCTGAGAGTTGAGCAGAAAACTGCAAGAAAGCAATGTGAGGGTTCAGCACTGAGAGGAATGGGAGATGAATCACCAAGAGGAAAAAGGGAACGGATGGGTGCAAAAAGAAGGAAAGGAGGCAGTGGGTTAAAACAGCTGACACTGTAGGAGGGATCTTTTGTGTCTTTTTTTTTTTTTTTCCCCTAGGGTTTACAGGTTCTGTAAGACACTGGAATTATTTTTCTTTGAATGCATTTTCAGCTTTCTAGCTTCTGCACTGTTACAGTTTCTGCTAGCATAACCTGCACGGCGTGCTCCATGTCAGACTCTGCCGGGGGTGGAAGAGGCATTAGCACCTCTGCAGTTTTTGCTTTCCCTGACGGGCAGTACGCTGAAGAGTACACACCGGTTTCCTTCAACAGATGCAAAGGGACGCATGCTGTCCTCTCAGACTGGAGGAGGGCAGTGCTAACGTTATGAGTTAAATAGTCTTGTGACTTTCCAGTTCAGTTAAAATACTGTCTCAGTCTTCTCAGTCGTTGAGAAGCAAAAGGAAACAATGTGCTGCTAAGTAAAAGGAACGTTTGCTGAAACTGAAAGGGACGTCAAGACAAAATGAGAAAGGTAGCCACCACTTGAGTTCTGTTACAAGCTTCCTCAGGTTGACCGCCCACGTCGCTCACTCACTGTCAGCATTGTGACTTCACGCTCTCCCAAAGTTCCTTGTTTGGCAGTGGGTTTTCCCATGAAGCTACCAGAATTTATTTTTATATAAAAGGAAGCATAGAAGCCAATGATAAGAATGCTAACACAATAAAAACTGCATAAGGGACTGCTGTGCTTCCAGGATCAACTTTCATAAATCACTGTCCCTTCAAGCCCTGTGCAGACCTGTCTTAGATGCTCTGTGCAGATGGTACTTCCATACTGCTGCTGGCTGGGAGTGAGAGACCTTCTCCTGGGCCTCTGGTGAAAAGCAGGTACAGCCAAGTTGTAAGACTTTAATTGGAATATTCTGCAACTTGGCATCTGGATTCCCAAACTGGGTTTTATGTGAGAGATGAGACTAAGCAATCCCATTCTGCCCTATTCTTGCCTGTCAGAGAACTGGCTTCAGTCTGGAAGGCAGAGACTGTGAATAAGCAAGCCACTGCTGCTGGTGGCAGAGGACAGACCAGGCTCGTGTATTTTTACCGCTGCCATTGCAGTCTGAACAGTGACACTGAGGGAAGAAGGGTGGCCCTGCTTTCTTGCTGGGTTTAGAGTGGGCAAACAATTCCTGCTTTCTTCTGACTTTGTTACAGTCTCAATCTTTCTCATAATGTGGGAAAAATAGGAAGTCACTAAGTCTGTTGTTAGTGTTTTACATGGTGGTGTTTAAGGTAATTTTTTTTGTACAAACTACAACTTTCAAAAATAAAGTGACCAAAAAACCTGGTTAAGTGTTGTGCTGATGTAACAGGAGCTTTCTTGGGTGACAGAGCAGCTCACTTATCCCAGGGTGCAGTGTGTGTGGTGCCTTGTGCCTGAACTTGCCAGGAACAGATCTCTTCTCGTTACTACATGCTTTTTTGTGGCTACCTGGTGTCATTCCAGTTCCCTTAGGGCTTAAGAAGGAAGGATACTCACATCTTTCCAAACTGAAACTGAGAGCCCAGGTAGTTACAGATGGGAAAAGATTTCTGTGCTCTGTATTTCTCTGCAGCAGTAACAGTCAAAAGTAATTTTTTGATGAAGGTTGTACTTCTCGCACACTAACATTCAGGTTGAGGGGATTATAAAGCAGCCAGACCTGCAAAGCCTGAACAAGGTGTTTGGTTTTTTTTTTTTTTTATTAAGAATATTGAACATGAAATGAAGAAGTGAAGCCTTTCCATTTGACCGAAATAAAATCTGGTCCTCAGAAGTAACTATTAACACAAACAGACTGTCTGCCTGTCTATCCTGCCAAGGGTCAAACTAAACAGAGGTTTTATCACACCCAGCCTGCTAAGGATAAAATGGTTTATGGGCAGCCTTCCTCTGCTGACTGCAGTCAGAGATTCTAACCTCCCCCCTTCCCAGCCCCCAAAGCTACATCAGACCACACAGCCTTATAAGAGAGCAAGCACAAGCAGCTTCCTTTGGGCCTATTTTCATTCAAGAAGACTTCTCTCGCAGAACAAGGATGTCACTGAGGTGAGGTTCATCAGTACGGCCTAGGAAGCTGCTGCTGCTGCCACATTTTATCCACCTTCTAAGCACCTTCCCTCCTCTAATTTTTCTAACACTGATCAACAAAGAGCCCATTCCAAAGATCTCTTATCTTTCTACCTATGCCGTTAGGCCTCCTCCCATGCCACTACAGCTTTCCTGCAACAGCAGGTGCTTTTCACACACAGTTGCATGTTTCACTCAAATATTCCTGTGAAACTTGTGTAAACAAAGCTGAGACATGGTTTATAAATCATTTTGCCTTCAGATACTTGGCTCTAGGGGGCACTTACCTCTTCATGGCTTTTTTTTTTTGCTTGCTTGTTTGTAGCAGAGGTGCTTAAAGGAAGAACTGCCCAGATTTTCACCCTTGGCAAACTGGTTACAAAACCTCAGAATACCACATTTGGTCCTTAAAAAAACCCCAGACCTCAAGGGGCTGAAAGGGAGGGACTCGGCCTGTAATATAATTCTACCCCTTAGAAAGAAGTAGCATTAAAGGGTCAGTATTCTGTTGTTGGAGGGTGTGTTTTTGTTGGTTTGTTGTTTGCTTGGGTTTTTTTTTTTAACTGGGGAGGAGAAATACTTGTTTTACAACCCAAAACAAAAAAAAAACTTTGTTTTAACACCCAAAAAAAAAAAAAAAAAAAAAAAAGCTTGAGGCAGGCGATACAATCCTGCCAGCTTAAACTTTGTCCCTTAAGCTCTCCTGAGGATAATGAAGACAGACACAAAAATAATACAAACTGGTAAGAGAATGCAAAAAAAATCCCAAAACCCCAGCCCATTTTACGAAGAGCCTTGGCGCTTCTGGAGACTCCTTTGGATCCTGTAAATTACGCCCTAGCACAATGGGGAGGCAGATGTAGTGCTGCAGGGTTCCCTAATGTAAGACAATCCCCGTTCCTTTCAATTTTCCCATCACCTTGTCGTAAGTACTCAGGATAAATCCTTCTCGGACTGGTTCAGAGAGGAGTGAACAGCTACTGCAACACTTTGTCTTCACTCTGCATCTCTACAGGAGGCAGTAAAGCTAAGGCAGCTCCTGTTGCCATGGGCCTTCAAGTTTGGTATGCATGCTGGAATGGCTATTAAACCCAGTTCATGAGCAGCCTAGGGTGGTTTGGTTTGGTTTTTTTTTAAGGAGTGGAACAGCAACAGCCCCTTTTGCTCAAATTCTTGTTTGTCCACCTCAGTCACTTGGAATTTACTAGTTTCCCTTCCTAAATGCCCCAAGCACAGCTGCTCCCAATGTCCGTGGGGGGCTGGCTCTTCCTTTGCCTCGCGTTCTGGCACAGCAAGATTGAAAACTAAGATCTAGCAGACCTGCTGTAGCAGAAGGGGGCGAGGGCAGTTCCCTTTCAGAAGGCAGAAAAAGGTCTTCTGTCTGCTAAGACAGGAGGTCCCCTTCACATCCTCGTGGTATATGGGAGAGGCATATTCAAAATCGGGAAGAAGGAAAAAATGTTTCAAGGCCCCAGGTGGGAGTTTCCCCCCCCACCTTGTAGCACCATTAAGAGACCAAGACATGGGTTTATGCACGGCAGTTTCAACCAGTTAAATTCCTTCTCATTCTTCTTGAATGCAAGACCACAGGGGACTGCCCCATTCTTCCCTGCCCCAGCAGGATGCTCCAAAGCTGGCAGCTGCCCTGGGGTCAGAGCAAAAGTGAGATCTCTGGCTTCAGAGCTGTTAGGTCTCCTTGAGGACATTGATCTTGGCACAGATCTTGAGAGCTGGTCCCAGCTTGATATTCATGGCACTCATGAGGTGTTCCTCCTTCAGAAGCAACAGGGCCTGGCCATCAATTTCCTGTGACCGAAACTCCTCAGCAATCTCCTGGCACCCTGTGAAACAAAATAACCCAGCACTGAGAAACAGATGTGCCCTGGGCACAGCTCTTATTCCCACTCTTTGGGCCTCGGGCAGGTACAGAAAGCGAACTAGGAACCAAACCAACCCCTCTCCCCACTCTACTCCAGTCTGCCAGAGGACACAGGCTACCTGAGCGGCGTCATCCATCCGTATGACCCACTCCAACTCAGAAACATGTACAAAAGTACAATAAAAGCACTAGGCACCGTTAACACTATTTTCTTTCAAATTTCCCCGTGCTACTGGATCACAGGACTGCAGGAGAGGATCTTCACCTTGCAGGGATGCAATGAACTCGTACACCTCCTCCACACTCCAACGGCTGGGATTGCTGGAGAGGAAGACTGGGTTGATGCCATGTAGATCTGGGGTAGGTGGGGCCATACTAGAGTTTGCCAGGTCCCTCTCTCCATGACTGGCCCTTACTGACAGGGGTCCTGGAGATGTAGGGGACAAAGCTTCGTCATAGCTGGAGTTATCTGAGCCTCGACTCGAGTCCTCCTGGCCCTACAAGCCCACAGAAAAGAGAAAACAATAGGTGTTTACAAAGTTCACAATTGCTGGGTACAAACCAAGACACTGGGAACGGCAGAAGTTGTCCCAACAGTCTGGGACAACTGCTCAAGCTGTTGGTCCAGGAGCAGCTGACAAAAGCTCCCTGATGCTAGAAATGGGAGAATTTACTCTTGCCTCCCTTCCTCTTCCTCATCTTCCCGCAAGTCCATTCCTCTTCCTCACGTTAGCACTGAGGCTCATTCAATTCTTGTATGATTTGATTCAAATCATTCATGTGGAAGAACACTAATCAAATGGGAGAAGCGGATTGATTGTTTTCTACCAAGGCTGTCAGCTGATCTCACTCACCGAGACCTCCGATACACAGGCGGGTGTGAACAGCGTGAAGGGAACAAGTACAAACACCAATCCTCTTTCTGCAGCTGATAAGCTATCAGAACAGCTCACTGTGCCTTGTGTAACGCTCTCTGCATGCGCTTGGCACATCCTGTACGATACACCCGCTCTGAGAGCGTGGTACATCCCGCAGGGACAACTTTTACAGAGGAGGCAGACAGGACCCTGTGCTTACCCTGTGGCGCTTGCCCTGGATCTTCGTTCGAGCGATGTCAGAGCTGCTGCGCCGTGGTCCGCGTCGGCGCACGCGAGCATAGTTAGCTTCCTGGAATTCCTTCATCTTCTTTCTCTGCAACCGAAACTGATGGCTGCAGCTGACGTTATACCTCAAATAAGTAGAAGCAGAGCAGCAGTTAGGAAAGAGCAACTATCTAAATCTACTGCTTCTCCTTGCTCTACTTGAGGACAAAACTCCTCTTTACCATCGAGTTCTGTTCCTCCTCCTTCTAAAACTTCCCCTTGGAAGGAATCAGTCCAGACCTCGGACACAAGCAATATTTGGACACCAGGATCTTGATCTAACATCTGAAGGGTCAATTAAGTCATTCCCCTAAGGGAAAAAAGACCCATAACAAGCACTCTGCTGTCAATAAGAGGCAGCAATGACCAGTCTAACTTCTCCCCGTTTTTCCCCCAGTGCTCCCTTGTGTCTTTGTCTAGTACTTTGTCTAGCAGACAGCTACCAATATGCATTCATTTAGTCAGTCAAATGTTTATTGGACTAAAAAGAGGTTCCTTGGAGTCACAGAACTTCCCCCTTCCCGCTTCATTTTCTGAGCAAGTCAGAAAGCCTGTTTAGACTCAACACCACATCCACCTCTCCAACCTAGAAGCATTCACAAATCATTTAGAGTCCTAAAGGATGTCTGTGGCGACTGCATCCCATGGAGGGAGGATCAGATGTACTGTAGTCTTGTACACTACCTGGAGAAGGGGCACGTGCCCAGTTCGAGGGAACATATAGTCAGAGAAAATGAAGATTACATCTTGCTATTACCTTTTAGCACAGGTCATTGAACAAAACCTCTTGGAGCCACGGAACTGGGTTGCTGGAGCATATTTCCCACAATATTCACACTTCAGCAAGTTTGCCTTCTTATCAAGCTCTAGTGAGATACACAGATGCACACCAATTGATGATTTGAACTGAAGCAGGTCACACACAATGATTCCACTACTCTTCCTCTGAGCAGACTGATTCCTAGCACTGTTCTCTATTGAATCTAGTAGGCAGTTACATTGTGGAAGAAGCTGGGGGAAGAGAGGCAGAAGCCTCACTCATTAGAACCCCAGGATATTGAATAGAGCACTTGATTTCAAATTGTCAGTACCATTTCGATGAACAACCAAAGAATAGCATATCCCTCATATTCTACAAGGCTGTGGGAGAAAATCTCCATCACTACACACTCTGCTAGCCTTCAGTCATTAGAGACAGGTAACGTTCAGATTCTCTTCTGACTACTGACATAGGGTATGTTAGATCATATTAACAGCAACAAGGTATTGTATTCTGCTACTCAAGAAGAGGAGGTCCTAGGTCCACAGCTTGAGTCTCCAAGGAGTTAGCAGGAAGGGATAGAAACTTTCAGTAACGCTAGCCAGACCTCCTGGTGTTGCAACTTACCCACAGAAGGACTGTTCCCTCCCGGAGAATTGCTGGACACATTTTCACTCTGGCCAGAAGGAGCCTCTCCCTGCAGCGGTTTCTCAGATTCTTTCAGCAGCTGAGAACAACCCACCTGGACAGAATGAGAAAGAGTTGGGTCCAGCAGTAAAGTGTCCACCACCCCCCGCAAGGTATATGCCACTCACAGCTCGCTACATCTCAGAGGAATTCCTCTGCCTACTAGGGAAGGAGAGATGCTGAGCAAAGTTACTGCTCCTTCCTGACTCTCAGGCTTGGTGGTTCATTCAAGTACTCCCTGCCTTAAATATCCTGCAATTCCATGTAACTGCACTTCCCCTTATTTGTTTTAACTTCACTTGCTGCTTGTTTAAAATGCAGCGTATCTTTCCTTCACTAAAAATCAGAAATAACCTTCTGATAATTCCTGCATAAATCTGCGGACTACTGAGAACAGTTCCCATCTCACTTGCTTTACTCCCTCCGATCCACTCCCTCTAAGACCACCACTTAATGCCCTGCTTCACACGTGACACTTCCTTCTTTTCCCTTCTTCGCTGTCTCTGTCTCAGGCTAACAAAACTGGCTTGGAACATAGGGAAAAAAACCCTTCTGTCTAAAGATGTAAGCCCATCCCCCCCAAGAGAGTGCTACCACCTCCAGCCCCAGCAGCAGAAAATCCCTACCGGAAAAGGCTCTGCTCCTTCCTGGATGACAAAGCCCTCAATGATGTGTGTGAGGATCTGGGGCTTGACGATGGCTTGTGGGGGTTTGGAGTCTCCCATCTGACGTGACACCACTGCCAGGTTTGGGGTGGGAGCAGAGGGGGGAGTGGCTGATGCTCCTTCACTTGAGGTGGTATTTGGGGTTGGAACAGCAGCAGGAGGAGATTTATCTGGAAAGTTAACAGCAAAAGTCAGTAACCTTTGCTCCATCTACTTCAAATGGAATACCAGATCAGATCATTAGCACACACAAGCAGAGCTCTCCTTTATACCCCACCTCCAAGGCCACTCTTCTCCTCCATGTTTTTGGGACTGTCTGTCACAGGAGAGGACCTGGCAGGCAGGAGTGCAGTGATACTGGGCGATTCCTCCTTCTCCTCCTCTGACTCTGCCTTGCGCTTTACCGCTAAGGTCTGAGACTTGCCCTGGGTGAATAAAGAGGAACACGTAAGCAGAGAGAGAAGCTCCAAAGCAAAGACCAAGACAGACTGCAGGCAAAAGGAAGGTGCATCCTGCTCCATCATACTTCATCTCCAGCCTGGTTCCCTCTCCTGGAACGCCCCTAGCTCCCTCACAGTACACACCTCGGCTTAGGAGCATTTCCCTAGCAGGGAGCAAAACTTCATGTATCAACGTGAATTGGGCCATTGATATAATACCAAGATAGTGTGAACCTCAAGGGATTATTCCAAGAAGACAGAAATGGAATTGCAGTCACCCACCAGTTTCTAAACAGGCTTTTGTCTAGATCAGATCAGTTTCAACGAAGAGAGTCAGGACAGTAGAGGAAACATTTTGGATGACAGCACAACTGTCCCCTCACTTTAGCAATCAGGCAAATCCTGACACACCTTCCTGAAGAAAAAGCTGGAGTTCAGAAACAGCCCCAGTCCCCAGGGAGGTAGGCAGGCCCTAGCTGGACAATTCACAGGAGCATGGCCAAGACCTGTGGAACATGAGCCGCCTGTTTTCACCTGCACAGCCTGGTACAAAGGGGATCCTCTGAGGCCTAGAGTCAGTGGCAGGTACCACACACCAAGGGGCCTCTGATCTGCAGGTGTCCACCCCTAGGGAGGAGCGGGGGGTTTAGTCTTCATGGCCCACTCAGCTCTCAACTCTCTCCTGAGAGATACAACAAAGAGGACAATTATTGTTTCTACTGGGTTTATGTGGCAAGGCTTTGGTAGCATGGGGGCTGCGTGGATAAATTCTGTCAGAAGACACCAGAAGATTACCCCACGTCCAATAGAGCCAGCTCCAAGAAGACCCACCACTGGCCAAAGCCAAACCCACCAGTGACGGTGGTAGTAGCCTTCGGGACAACATATTTAAGAAAGAGTAAAAAATACCACGCAACAGCAGCTGGGAGAGGACTGAGAAACAGCCCTGCAGACACCAAGGTCCGTGGAGGAGGGGTAGGAGATGCTGCAGGCACCAGAGCTGAGATTCCCCTGCAGCTCATGGTGGAGACCATGGTGGCAAAGGGTGCCCCCCATCAGCTCCAGGAGGACCCCACGCCAGAGCAGGTGGATGTGCATAGAATGAAGCTGCAGCCCATAAACAGCTTGTGCTGGAGCAGGTTCCTGGCAGGACCTGCAGCCCATGGAGAAAAGCCCACACTGGAACAGGTCTTCTGGCAGGACTTGTGACCCTGTGGGGGGCCCAGGGCGGGACAGGGTGACCCGGTGGGGGACCCAGGCTGGAGCAGGCTGTTCCTGAACAACTGCAGCCTGTTGGAAGGGACCCATGTTGGAGAAGTTTGTAAAGGACTGTAACCTATGGGAGGGATCTCATGCTGCAGCAGGGGAAAAGCATAAGGAGGAAGGAGCAGCAGAGAGAAAATATTATGGATTGACTGCAACCCTCATTCCCGGTCCCCTGCACTATGCAGGGGGAGGAGGTAGAAGAATCAGGAGTGAAGTTATGTCCATGAAGAAGGGGAAGAAGTGTTTTTTAGATTTGTTCTTATTTCTCATTATCCCACTTTGATTAATGGACAATAAATTAATTTCCCTAAATTGAATTTGTTTTGTCCATGACGGTCTTTGGCAAGTGATCTCCCTGTCCTTATCTCAACCCATCAGCTTCTCATTGTATTCTTCTCCCCCTGTCCTGTTGAGAAGGCGGAGAGATAGGTTGGTGGTCACCCAGCAGCCAGCCAAAGTCAACCCACCACGTTGTTACACGTGATACTTCGTTATGTGGACACCTAACCCATCTGGGGCAGCGTCTGGTCTCACCTGTTTACTTCATGCAAGCCTCTGAATGATAATGTAGAAGGGCTTGTAGTCAGTAATCGTAAGGGTTGGACTGGAATTAGTGTTTTCAAGAGGAAAGTCTCCACATCCCTTTACCCAAACCCCTTACCCAACCCATCCCACTGACCTGAGCCTGGACTGCGATTGGTGTCCTAGGAATGAACAAAGAGAATCCATATGCTATTCTCCTTCTCAATGGTATCACTTACTGGCAACTGGACAGACTGCATGTAGAATGCTGCTGGCATCTGAGCCACAACTGGAGAGGAGGCTGGGCTCTTCACCATGTGGGCTGTGCCTTGAACTTGTGCCAAATTCACCCCTGTGGTGAGAGGAGGAGCTTCCTGTGAGGATGCTGGAGCTGAAGATGATGGGGAAGCAGCATGGGCCTGGGAAACAGGCTGGACCATGGCTGGCATTCCCCGGGATGTCGGCACTGCTGCAGCAACCTGAGCCAAACCCAGTGCTTGGGCTTGGCCTGAGCCCTGCTGCCGAGTACCCACCACCTGCACGGGGATGTGCGGTGGAGGCTGCTGCGCTGCTGACATTTTGGCAGGCCCAAGCTGAGGCGGTTTGATGGGGGTGACCAGGGATTTTGACTGAATTGGAACAGGTGACTTGGTGGGTGGCTGGCAAGGACTGTCCTGCTGGAGCTGCACAGGCTGTGCCTGGGACTGCAACATAGGCTGCACCACAAGGGTCTGCGCCTGCTGCTGGTTTTGAGGTGGGGCCTGCTGCTGCGGAGGTTGAGCTTGCTGCTGCTGTTGGGTCAGAGATGGCGCTTGCTGCTGCTGAGCCAGCTGGAGATGGGTGGCTGTGTGGAGGAGCTGGGACTGGCGGTGCTGGAACTGCTGCTGGTGATGAATGGCGATCTGCTGCTGGATCACCACCTGCTTCTGCAGGTGGATCTGCTGCTGCTGCTGGATCAGCGAGTGTAGTGGCTATACAAATACAGAGCAGGAAAAGAGGAGAGCACAAAAGTTAGCAACGGCGCAGCTTGGAACACCAACAAGAAAAGAAGGCAGTCAGCCACTGCATTGGTTTGAGTCATCCAGCTCGAAAATGACTGACAGGTTACTGGCAGAGGACATGAGGGACTAAATCAACTTCTCTTGCTCATAGAGAGGGATAATGCATAGGGACAAGCTGCCAGGAGCCCAGAGGCTGGGAGGCATGCTGGAAAACCTCTCACCACTGGGCTTTCAAATGGCACTCTTGCAAAAGCCCAATGGGCTCGAAGAGAAGGAACAGGTCTGCACTTACCTGAACTGATCAATGTCTGGCTGGGTGCTGGTGTAGCAGTCCTGGTCAGGTTCATGCCCACTGTTTGCTGTCCACTGCTGTCCATTTCACCCTTCTTTGTGGCTGCATTCTCTGTCTCTGTCTGGCTTCCCTGGCTGACAGTCACAGCCTGGGCAGGTGCTACCGGTAATGGCTGAACCACCCCTGTGCCTTTCCTTTGGCAACTGCCAGCGGCGCCTGCTGAGGAGGTCTGGCTCAATCCCGTCGAGGTCTGGTTCCCACCACTTGCCACCACGCTTCCAGAGACACCATTGCTGCCTGCTGTCCCCTGGCTCAAGTTGAGCGACTGGCCTGTGCTGCCAGAGGAGGCCTGAGCCACTGCCAAGGTCTGGCCTGTGCTGGCAGCCTGCAGTAAGCCCGGAGCCTGGGAGCTTCCTGGCAGAGCTGCCTTCTGAGCAGAGCCTTGGAGCTGGGCATTAGTGGCCGAGGTCTGCTGGCTCCTCACAGCCAAGTTCTGCACCTAGAAACACATACGCAGACGGAGTCCGTTTGCTTTACGTACATTACTTGCTGGAAATTTGGCAGAGAACGCATAAGCAACACACTCTACTGGGATGCGGGCCAAGCTGATGCTTCAAGTCTCAAGTGGGGAGCTAGCTAACCTGGGCAAAGCTCAAGTGCAGCCCTCCCCAGGACACACATTATCCTGAACTCCCTCCTGTCCCATCTCTGATGGAAGTTAAAGATCTCTTGGCACTTTTTGAACAGCACAGGAGGACACGGCCATTCTTTGAGGTATGGGACAACCTTCAGACCTGCCTGCCTTGCCCTTGCGTTCATAGGATCCAGGTTAGCACAGCTCTAAAAGCGCCGAGATACCCCTTTAAAGACCAGTAATTCCCATTCAATTTTTGTGCCACCCACCTCCTCCCTCTGTGCAGGGCTTTCCACTCAGGAGATCTACTCATGGCCTGCAGCTCTTCTGATTTCACCAGTCCCTCTGCATTCTGGTGCTGCCATCCTCTGTATTTATACCCCCTCCAAATGGAGTATTATCTTCAAATTTAGTGATGGCTGAATTTCCTTCAAGGAAAGTGCCCCAGGCAAGACAAATATGAAACTGCAAATCCCAAGAATGACTGGGATAGGACAAGGAAAATGGGAAGCCGTGGCAGGTCCCTGACCTGGAGAATTACTTACAGATGAATGCAGGAACTAAGACCTTTTGGCCAGTTTGGTCTTTGGCATCTACAACAATGAACCAGCTGAGTGAAGGAATACTACTGCTGGCAAAGACTCCTCATTGGAGAGTGACTGCAAACTGGACATAGAACTCAACAATTCGTTTCACACAAGGACAATCAAGAAACTGTGAAGAGAGGACTGATCCAGCCTGTGGCTCACCCCAAACATTTTAAGCAGACAGGGATCCCAAGTCTGGCGTCAAAAATTAAACATGAAAAAACAGTGTGAGGAGAGAATCTTCTGCCTGCCCAGGGACACAGGATGGGGATAAAATAGAGCTGCTACACAGGGATGACTGGAGACAAAGACCAGAGTGCGAGGTGACAGAGAGCAGGGGAAGGAGAGAACTCTTGTGGGGGGTGTCACTGACCTGGTCTGTGTCTGCATGGACCCCAGGAGACTGAGTGGGTGGTACCTCCTGCTGGACAGCGGCCACAGCCCCGTTGGGCATCAGGATGAGTTGGGAGGCAAGAGGCACATTGCGGCCCAAGGTCCGGTTTACCTGCAACAGGTTCCCAAGCTGTGGCTGTTGAGGGAGGGTCAGGTGACGTGGAACGAAAGGAACGGAGAGCGAGAGAAAGAAAGACAGCGAACCACAAGCAAACAGATTACAAAGCAACACTGGGCTGCAATGTCAAACACTGCAAAATCCCCAACCCTCTCTGCACTGTATCACTGAACATAACCTTAGAAGCAGGAAAGTGGGAACAGTTTCCTTACGGAAACAAGCATTTTTCTATCAAACATGGGCCTGGGCCAAACTCCATGAACTGCACAAGGCTGTATATCCAGGACTGGTTGAGATACAGTGTTAAAAGTCATACATCCAAGACCAGCATTGCTTGAAAAGAAGGGGATTACAGTCTGTATCTAAAGTCAATGGAGATGCAAGAAATATTTTTCAAGTAGGTAACCAAACCCCAGACTGATGGTATTTAAACCTAATGTTTTCTACCTAGCAGCACTTCAAACCAATTAAAAGGATGATATTTGTTCATGTTAATTTATGTTCCTAGACTGACTTGAATTCTGACCTACATCCTTGAGCTCAGCAGTGGTAGGAAAGTAATTTACCTTATATTTGTTCCAGCATTGTTCCAGAGGAGTAGCTTTATTTCTGTGAGCTATATTCAAGTCTAGGACATATATTTCACACTTACACTCTAGTGAGAAGTGCCATGGGATCTTTAACATCTATGCAGAGCAAAGACACATGGTTCTTAATGATCTCACCTGAGCCACACAATACAAAGCTCAAGTACCTCAAAAGCTGAGCCCAGAATCAAACTTGTGGTTTCAGGACAAGAGCTTCCCCATCTGAATTTAAAGTATAATACATCATCCTTAAAGCTAGAGTTAGTCCAAAGGTGTTGGCAATCCCAAGCAGTGAAACAATGGAATGGCTAGGAAGTAGAGTTCATATCAGGACACATTTTGCGTACACATCACTTACCCGGAGATACATCTGGGCCTGTGACTGGTTGAGAGGAGGTGAGGTGGTATTCCCAAGGAGCACAGACTGTGTCAGGGTTGTGGCACTGGGTGAGCTCACACTCTGTGACCGACTGATCAGCTGAGCAGCTGAAGTGGTAGCTAGGTTGATCTTAGAATAAAGAAAAGCTCCAAATCATATAGGAACAATCAGAGACAAAGAAATAATTAACAAATTCGCTTACTGGGGTACAGCCAGAACAGACATTTTACAGTTTTTCCTGTATCTCACAGGGGAACAAGAAGAAAAAGATTCTTACGGGACTACACTATCTAAACTAGCCAAAGTCGTGGGTGTTAACCTCATTTGTATGCTGAGCCTGAGTATCACCACTGTTAGCATGCACCTGCAGTAAGAAATCCAAGAGAGATACATAATTTTCTCCAGGCTCTCAAGTAAAGGAAGAAAACCCACAAAGTAATCTCTACCCTACCTACTCATCTGCTCTCTGAATGAATCCCAGTTCCTCAATACTCACTACAAAACCAGACGACTTCTCATTCAACAAACTTCTCTTCTGCCTGAGAAATAAGAGCATTCCCTTTCAAGCTGCTCATGACTTCTTCACCTTCTTAGAAGTCCTGATCCTTTTCTAATCTCTGACAGCGTATCCCCCAAAGCCTCAGCAAAGAGAGATCAGTGTCTACCTTTGCAGCTAAGAGGCCCCTCCCCCATCAGAAATCTCTGGATTCCTTTGGCCCAACAATGATAGCACCCCAAATCCTCAAAGATGCCTGTATCTTGTGGATTCCCAGCATTGCTAAAAGCGGTGTTTCCCTGGCTGACTGCTTTCCTAAAAGACAAAGAGGAGAACAAGGCAGGGGATAGGAGGAAGGCTTCGATATGTGTGTGAGGGAGCAGTTACTTACAGAGGCCTGGGTGGTGGTGGTCTGCTGCGGGGTGCTGGTGTTGGGGGAGCTGGCCTGTCTACTGGCTGCAATTGTAGCCTACAAGAGATCGACAGAGAAATGAGTACCTGGAACAAACTTTTCAATCCAGCCCAAATCTTTTGTTTTGTCAGAACACCTAGTCCCATCATCATCATCTCCCATCCCTGAGAACAGGAGCACAATATAACCACCACAAATCCCTGCCATTCCCTACAGCTGCATGCAGGGATGGTACAGCATGGTACCTACTCTTCTCCAAGCGGTTCAAAACCCAAGGCAGTGAACACACAGACCCTTACAGTACATTACCTCCAGCCCTTCCACTCATAGGCACATTACCCTACTGTTGCCCCAGCTTGTCATGCTACACACTGCAACCCTCATCCTGATGCTGCAATCCATTCCGTTAATCCCTCTTGCTACTAATTTTCAAGATGTAAAATTCAGAGACGACCACCTGAAGTTTCACCCACACAAGACCATGTTTATTCTCAGAGAAATAACAAACCGTGGTTCACTTCAATACAGTTCTTAAAAGCTACTGCATCCACTGTTAACTACTCTGTTAACACCCAGACCCTCCCCACACGATTAGCGATTTGCTGGTCTAGTTAGGCAGTAGAGTAACAACGCAATGATAGCGCTCCAAGTAACAAACTTCACATTAAAGCACATATGGCTCGTGGAGGAATGTAAATATTGTTAGTTCTATCCCCCGCCACGATCCCATGGAAATTCCACTGTATAAGTTCAGTTACTTTTCTAGCTAAGATTTGTGCAAAACTGGTGAAAGGATTCTATTCCTTCGATGCTATCAAATGGCAGGTCAGGATTTGGGCTCGCTGGTAGGCGAGCAAAGTTGCTAAAGAATAAAAAAAAATGCCTCAACAATCATGCATCAAAAAATATCTCTATTTGTATATACATTTCAAAGACACACCCTCCCAGCTACAAGATCTACCCCAGATCCCTCTTGCTAGTAACTGGTAGAGAAAACATAGGCTACTAATTTTCAGGATGTAAAATGAAGAGGATACCACCTGAAATTTCACACACACAAATGTTTATTCTCAGAGAAATAACAAACCATGGTTCACTTTAAGATAGTTTTTAAATGCTGCTGCATCCACTGCTGATTTAACCACCCTTCTTTTCATAGAACCACAGAATGGTCTGGGCAGAAGGGACCTTAAAGATCATCTAGTTCCAACCCCCCTGCCATGGGCAGGGACACCTTCCACCAGACCAGGT